AGGCCTAGTGTATTGCATCTTCTATCGCTTGTTCGTGGTTTTTGCATAGAAGTAGCGCTTAACCCGTAGGGAGATTATACAGCGCTTGCGTGAAAGAAAGACAACCAGGTTAGATCCAAGGAGGAGGAGGAGGAGGAGGAGGAGGAGGAGGAGGAGGTCAGGTTCAGTTCCTGAGAACGAAAGCTCTTCACTCTAATGGAGAAACCATGCCTGAAAATGATAACGTTGGTAGGGACAGGTTGTTAGGCACGAGAGGGAGCCAGGGAGATATTGCTGCCAGGGAGACATTGCTGCCAGGGAGATATTGCTGCCAGGAAGATATTGCTGCCAGGAGGATATTGCTGCCAGGAGGATATTGCTGCCAGGGAGATATTGCTGCCAGGGAGATATTGCTGCCAGGGAGATATTGCTGCCAGGGAGATATTGCTGCCAGGAAGATATTGCTTCCAGGGAGATATTGCTTCCAGGGAGATATTGCTGCCAGGAGGATATTGCTGCCAGGGAGATATTGCTGCCAGGGAGATATTGCTGCCAGGGAGATATTGCTGCCAGGAAGATATTGCTGCCAGGAGGATATTGCTGCCAGGGAGATATTGCTGCCAGGGAGATATTGCTGCCAGGAAGATATTGCTGCCAGGAGGATATTGCTGCCAGGGAGATATTGCTGCCAGGGAGATATTGCTGCCAGGGAGATATTGCTGCCAGGGAGATATTGCTGCCAGAGAGATATTGCTGCCAGAGAGATATTGCTGCCAGGGAGATATTGCTGCCAGGGAGATATTGCTTCCAGGGAGATATTGCTGCCAGGGAGATATTGCTGCCAGGGAGATATTGCTGCCAGGGAGATATTGCTGCCAGGGAGATATTGCTGCCAGGGAGATATTGCTGCCAGGGAGATATTGCTGCCAGGGAGATATTGCTGCCAGGGAGATATTGCTGCCAGGGAGATATTGCTGCCAGGGAGACATAGATGCCAGGGAGACATAGATGCCAGGGAGACATAGATGCCAGGGAGACATAGATGCCAGGGAGACATAGATGCCAGGGAGACATAGATACCAGGGAGACATAGATGCCAGGAAGATATAGATGCCAGGGAGATATAGATGCCAGGGAGATATAGATGCCAGGGAGATATAGATGCCAGGGAGATACAAATGCCGAATAATCAGAAAGATGTTAGGAAGTACTTTCTCAGTAGGAGCGTGGTAGGTGGAACGCAGCAGACGAAGAACTGGAGGAGGCAAACATTACAGCGTTAAGAGTAAGTTTATTCAGGTATACACAGTTACATTGATTATCATACATAGGTGTATACGTGCACAGAGCCTAGGATAACCCCTCAAAAAAGTCAGTCAGATTTATTTCCAATGGGGTAACTGAGTTTAATTCAAGGTAAACACTAAACAGGAAACAGTGAATCCGGATGGTATGAGTTACAAGGTGGAGTCAAGAGATAGGAATCAACACCCGCAAACACGAGTAATTGAGCACAATTATATGAGGACACATACACTACCCACACACACCGTAATTGTTACTTTTCCTCGTAATACAGTTTGCTCAAACAAAAAATCTTACTCAGAGAACGCATATATTATAACCCACTGTTTTAATTTGCTTCAGTGAGCATCAAGTATGAGACTAATTTTTACACTGCAGTTTATCCTCCGACACAAGACTGGCTGCTGATTAACATTCAGCAGACTGACACAGGACTGGCTGCTGGTCAACATTCATCAGACTGACACAGGACTGGGTGCTGGTCAACATTCATCAGACTGACACAGGACTGGCTGCTGGTCAACATTCAGCAGACTGACACAGAACTGGCTGCTGGTCAACATTCAGCAGACTGACACAGAACTGGCTGCTGGTCAACATTCAGCGGAATGAAACAGGACTGGCTGCTGATTAACATTCAGCAGACTGACACAGGACTGGCTGCTGGTCAACATTCATCAGACTGACACAGGACTGGCTGCTGGTCAACATTCAGCAGACTGACACAGGACTGGCTGCTGATTAACATTCAGCAGACTGATACAGGACTGGCTGCTGGTCAACATTCAGCAGACTGACACAGAACTGGCTGCTGGTCAACATTCAGCAGAATGAAACAGGACTGGCTGCTGATTAACATTCAGCAGACTGACACAGGACTGGCTGCTGGTCAACATTCAGCAGACTGACACAGAACTGGCTGCTGGTCAACATTCAGCAGAATGAAACAGGACTGGCTGCTGATTAACATTCAGCAGACTGACACAGGACTGGCTGCTGGTCAACATTCAGCAGAATGAAACAGGACTGGCTGCTGATTAACATTCAGCAGACTGACACAGGACTGGCTGCTGGTCAACATTCAGCAGACTGACAGAGGACCGGCTGCTGGTCAACATTCAGCAGACTGACACAGAACTGGCTGCTGGTCAACATTCAGCAGACTGACAGAGGACTGGCTGCTGGTCAACATTCAGCAGACTGACACAGAACTGGCTGCTGGTCAACATTCAGCAGAATGAAACAGGACTGGCTGCTGATTAACATTCAGCAGAATGAAACAGGACTGGCTGCTGATTAACATTCAGCAGAATGAAACAGGACTGGCTGCTGATTAACATTCATCAGACTGACACAGGACTGGCTGCTGGTCAACATTCATCAGACTGACACAGAACTGGCTGCTGGTCAACATTCAGCAGAATGAAACAGGACTGGCTGCTGATTAACATTCATCAGACTGACACAGGACTGGCTGCTGGTCAACATTCATCAGACTGACACAGAACTGGCTGCTGGTCAACATTCAGCAGACTGACACAGGACTGGCTGCTGGTCAACATTCATCAGACTGACACAGGACTGGCTGCTGGTCAACATTCATCAGACTGACACAGGACTGGCTGATGGTCAACATTCATCAGACTGACACAGGACTGGCTGCTGGTCAACATTCATCAGACTGACACAGGACTGGCTAATGGTCAACATTCAGCAGACTGACACAGGACTGGCTGCTGGTCAACATTCATCAGACTGACACATTACTGGCTGCTGGTCAACATTCATTAGACTGACACAGGACTGGCTAATGGTCAACATTCAGCAGACTGACAGAGGACTGGCTAATGGTCAACATTCAGCAGACTGACACAGAACTGGCTGCTGGTCAACATTCAGCAGACTGACACAGGACTGACTGATGGTCAACATTCATCAGACTGACACAGGACTGGCTAATGGTCAACATTCATCAGACTGACACATTACCGGCTGCTGGTCAACATTCATCAGACTGACACAGGACTGGCTAATGGTCAACATTCAGCAGACTGACAGAGGACTGGCTGCTGGTCAACATTCATCAGACTGACACAGAACTGGCTGCTGGTCAACATTCAGCAGACTGACACAGAACTGGCTGCCAGTCAACATTCAGCAGACTGACACAGGACTGGCTGCCAGTCAACATTCAGCAGACTGACACAGAACTGGCTAATGGTCAACATTCAGCAGACTGACACAGAACTGGCTGCTGGTCAACATTCATCAGACTGACACAGGACTGGCTGCTGGTCAACATTCAGCAGACTGACACAGAACTGGCTGCTGGTCAACATTCAGCAGACTGACACAGGACTGGCTGCTGGTCAACATTCAGCAGACTGACACAGAACTGGCTGCTGGTCAACATTCATCAGACTGACACAGGACTGGCTGCTGGTCAACATTCAGCAGACTGACACAGAACTGGCTGCTGGTCAACATTCATCAGACTGACACAGAACTGGCTGCTGGTCAACATTCAGCAGACTGACACAGGACTGGCTGCTGGTCAAAATTCAGCAGACTGACACAAGACTGGCTGCTGGTCAACATTCAGCAGACTGACACAAGACTGGCTGCTGGTCAACATTCATCAGACTGACACAGAACTGGCTGCTGGTCAACATTCATCAGACTGACACAGGACTGACTGCTGGTCAACATTCAGCAGACTGACACAGAACTGGCTGCTGGTCAACATTCAGCAGACTGACACAGGACTGGCTGCTGGTCAACATTCAGCAGACTGACACAAGACTGGCTGCTTGTCAACATTCATCAGACAGTAGACACCACTTCTGAAGGATCATTAAATCAATTGTTCAGTGACAAGACTCGTGAACACTCGTGTGAAGACCTAAATGGCCAACACGTTGAGCGGTTCTTGTAATTTATTGATAAACAAGCATTCTGCACTGACTGCGTCTTTCTGAGCAGCCTGGTAGAGGTGTGGAGGTTGAGGTACCTTGTTGACGCCGTCTCTACCCATGAAAACATTGTCGCTAATGTTTACTCTTTAGCATCCCTAAGGAATTAATAAAACTTATTATCCGGGTGGAATTCTCTTTATTGTACAAGCTTGGATACACCTGCAGTTTGCGGCTACTCTACTCTGCATGTTAGTCATGCAATAAGATCGCAGTGAACATGTAATATCACAATATGCAAAATAACCACTGTGAAAAAAATAGTGAATTTCCAAGCGGTTTCGTGATATCTCACATCTTTGAGGAACTGTGAGAAATCACAAAAGCGCTTAGAAGCTCACTATATTTTCAGTTATTTTGCATGTTAGTTATATAGCCAAAAACAAAACACGCAATGTATAGGTACACTATTATACACGAGTAATATTGTGGGAACTAGCTTTTTATGTTTCCCTGGTATATTCCATAACTCAGGATGGGATTCACACATGGGCGTAAAATCCGATACCTTGTAATGTAGATTTCAGTAGGACTCCAGTATGGAATTAGCAGCGTCTTTATAGCAGTGATGGAGTTACTAACACCTGGGCAGTACCATGTTGCATGCTGGCCTAGCTTCCATACAGAGAACAACATTATTAATATATCACCAGCCTCCATGAGAGGAAGAGAGGGGGGTAAAGGGGAGACAGAGAGAGAGAGAGAGAGAGAGAGAGAGAGGAGAGAGAGAGAGAGAGAGAGAGAGAGAGAGAGAGAGAGAGAGAGAGAGAGAGAGAGAGATATGAACTATATTAATAACAATTAATAAAAGCGCTAAGCCTGAAAGGGTCAGATGTGAGATGAGAGGGAGAGAGGGAGGGGGATGGAGGAGAGAAGAAGGGGAGAGAGGAGGGAGGGAGGATGGAGATAGGGAGGGAGAGGGAGGAGGGAGGAAGGAGATAGGGAGGGAGAACAGGGTCAGAACAGGAAGAGGTAGGTGATGCACTGAAGGTGGTGTAGGTGTGAGGTGCCTGGTGACATACCTAACAACCTCAATAAGAAGGAAGGCGAGGTACCTAATATCTCTAACTTGACCCATAATGGTCAAACACCATGTGAGGATAAGCCACGTTCAGTCCAAGACTGGATTTTATCAAGTAGATATTTAATGGAGTCAAGTCCTGGACGAAAAGTCGTGTCTTTCTCACCGCCATATTGTGAATGGGAGGTACTCAGGTTTAATGAAAGGAAGGGGAGAGTAGCTCAGTTTCCTATGCTCGAATGATCATCCCCCAGCATCAACTCATCTCCCCAGAAAGGAAGGCTAGAGAGAGAACCGAGCTGTCATGTACTTAGTCGGTAAAAACCAGCGTGTCAGTAGAGAGAAGTAGACTACATGTAGACTGATGCCACAGTAGATGGTACACACAGAAGACACAATGTTAGGGGGAAATGTGATGAGTGATGTGCTGTTAAGTTTTTGACAGAGTTGTGCTGAGCACTTTATGGTGATTTTCACAAAACAACTGCTTATTTAATATTTAACATACACTAAGCCTGTCACCATCGTAGTTAACAATGTTTAGGGAAGCAGTGAATCTTTTTTATCAACTGCAATTCACATTTTAAGATATATTATAGCTCAATAAAATACAAATAATACTTAATACCACCCAAAATAAATATTTCACGTTTTATCTTGTCAGTTAAAAATTCTTTCGTGGTTTCTTATTAATGAAAAAAAAGAACGTGATGCCAGCTTGCAAATTTCACACGGCTCAAGTACAAGCAAAACTGTTTGTAAACAAAAGATAAGAACACTGACGTTAAACGCAGAATGCTCTATTAGTTACTGATTATCTCCAGTTCCTTTGAACAGAGACGCCAACGTAGGTGGTGATGAGAATGAAGAGAACAATTGGTATTGCCACCTGGGAGAAGGAGTTAATTTTACGACTGCGTTCTGGTGTCGAGTACATCGCTTTCTTCTTGGAGAAAGGAGCTACCATAATGTTGCTCTCGCGCATCCTCTGGTGGTTGATGATGACCAACATGATGACGATGGAGAAGTTGACAAGGATGGACGCCACGAACCACACGTCGAGGAGTTTCAGATAAGAGGTCTTAGGCGTGGTCTGTGTGATCTGGGAGAAGAGTGTCGCTAGCACCAGCAGAGCAGTCAGAGACACCATAATACGATTGGTGAAGTCGTCCAGGTCAAAATAAAATGTTGAGTAACAAATGAGGACCATGAGAAAAGTTGGAATATAGGTGCTACTCACATAAAATCCGGAGAGGTTCTCCAAACGAATTTTTATCTCCCGGCCACTGTGATTATTCCAGTTCGACTCGATCATCTCTACACACCTCATCTCGTATTCCTTCAGATTCTTGAAGCCACGGTATCCAACCGTATTATCAGAAGAAGTGAAAGCCACCAGGTCTTGAGTGAACCTCGGCAGACTTATTATGAAACTACACCGCTGGGTATCGAAAGGGTAATTCTCGAACTTCATCTGGCAAGACACCTTCACCGTGTACGTCTTCGTCAGCTTGAGTGAGTTTGTCTCCCCGGGGTACACATCGTCTGGAAGAAACAAAATGAAACGCCTTCCTCAGTTGTAGCGTAGAGACGTACGTGTGCGTCTGTGTTCCAATTGTAAATAATTCATGGACATGCATTTGCGTGTGTGAAACCATGTATATAAACCGTTTGTCTAATGCGAATTCGTGTAAAGTAAATTTGCTAATTCAGTAACAGACTGAAGAATAAAATAAAGACTCACCTGCAGCTCTTAGGTGACGTTTTATTACTAAATTCAGGGAGACAGTTTAGGGAAACGAGACTGTTCCACCATGATAACTTATACTGACCTTCACTAAATGTCCTGATGTTCATATTAGGAAATTTGTGTATAAGAGATACTTTTTTCTGTCAAAACTGTCTACCCTTCTTCTAAGCTTCATAGTGTTCTAAACTGCCCTTCACTAATACCAGTGACGTCAAAAAAAAAAAAAACGACCTTCTCTAACCCCTAATAACGAAAGACTTGTCCTGCCTTGATTTTATATTAAGCGCTAACCATTCATGACTTTCCATAAAGAAAACAAACCTTTGAACCAGTCACATTTAACACTAACATAACCGGCACCTTTAACTGACCTTCCGTCACCATGGATTTGTTGTCAGGATTAGGCTCGGACTCCTTGACAGCCACAAATATTTGCCAGTGACTGGTGATGCATGCCTCGGTGCCTGTGACGTCTTGGAAGAGGAGCTCTGGCTTCCAGATTTTGTCCCCCTCCTGAATGACATTGCGGGTCTCTGCAGAGTTGATGCTCTTCATGCTGAGCCTCGGGTCCTGCCACACGAGATCAACACTCAGGTCAATGGTTAGCTTCATGTTCACCGTATCGATTGGCTGTATGGATAATATCGTTACGTTTATCTTGATACGGACAGGTTCAGTTCCTCTCCGTGCTGGAGGAGCCTGTCAGGAAGAGACAGAGTATGTTTATGCGGATATTAATTATCATTGGAAACATCGGGGTTGTCATGGGCAAATTATTACATGTGTCACCTTATATGCACATTCCTAGAGATATAAACATGCTTATATTAATACTGGGGCTTACATGTACAGCTACCAACCAGTGTGTTGTATTCTAAAATCTATTTACACTTTTGGTTGAAGCTTCCGTGTTGAAGTTTGAATGTAAGAGTAGGCCAAGGCCTACCTTTCTCTGATTTAATTCCAGAAGGCCTGCTTTGCCGATGTAGTAACTACATATTACTGACACAGCCACGGGTCTATTTATCTTTCTAATATAGTCAGTCATGAGCTACCCACGTCCTTGAAATAGTCTTAGGACCCACTCTCACTTCCTTAATATAATCATATTATATTCATTTGAAGCGCCAAACCCATAAGGGTCATTCGGCGTCTGGGGAATGGGAGGCAATCAGGATTGATCCAAGGAAGGAGGATGTTTCTTAATTCTTGGATCAAGAGCTCTCCACCGTCATCAAAGCACTCCAGCTGAAGGGTCTTAGAAATGACCCACATCCTCGATAAATTCTCAGGAACTACCAATTCCAATTTAGGAGGCTTGGTCTGAGACCGGGCCTCGATGTTAGGGGGGAGGGATATGTAAACAAATGTACAACCTCTTTGATGTAGTCTTAGACACTACCCACCGCCTTGATGTAGTCCTTGGGGATCTCAACAATCTTGCAGTCTCTCTCGTCACTCTGGTCCGGACAGTTGGCTTCCAGGTCACACCTCGCCTCTTTGGGAACGCAGGTGCCGTCATCACAGGTGTACTGGTTAACCTGGCAGGCTGTCAGCAGCAGCTGATGCTGGTGGGATGTTGAACACGTGTCCCCTGAAGGACGAGGAAGTTCTTTGTTTGGGGGAAAATAAAGGTGTTATATAGGGAAAGGGGGTGGGGGTAGGAAAGCAAGTGTCGTGGCCTTGGAGGACATGTCTGAAATTGGCATTGCCCAGGGGGACACTGTATGCATAAAGAACACCCACTTTCCAGGGAGAATACTCAAGTTACCTGAAAATACGCTAAAGCTGCTTGGGAGAATGCTTGCAAAGCAAAGCAAGCATTCTCCCTGGGAACACACACAGCATTTATACTGCCTGACAGAAAACTTGTATTGTCTGGAGTGGCTGGGAGAATATGCATTACCTTGGAAAACAACTTTATGTCCTGCATAGGAGGAAACCTGTAACTTGTGTTGGCCGGGAGGAATAGAAGAACAAGAAAACCAGATGAAAAAGAACCAGTGTACGACGACGATGATGATGATGATGATGATGATGAAAAAGACGAAGATGAATACGAAGATTAAAGAAGGAAAAAGAAATGGAAAAGGAAAGAGAAAATAAAATAGAAAGAAAAGAAAATAGAAAGGAATATGAAAATAGAAAGGAAAAATAAAACGAAGGAAGGAAAAGGAAAAAAAACTGGAAAAAAGGGAAAGGAAGGAAATGGGAAAAAAGGGGAAAAAAAGAAAAGGGAATTAGAGAAAAAAAGAAAAAGAACGAACAACAGAGAATGAAATCCGAAGAAGTACCTTATGAAAAACCAAAGAAGGACAATAGGAAGAACCAAGGACCACAGGAAGAACCAAGGACCATAGGAAGAACCAAGGACCACAGGGAGAACCAAGGACCATAGGGAGAACCAAGGACCATAGAAAGAACCAAGGACCATAGAAAGAACCAAGGACCATAGAAAGAGCCAAGGACCATAGGAAGAATCATGGACCATAGGAAGAACCAAGGATCATAGGAAGAACCAAGGACCATAGGAAGAACCAAGGACCATAGGGAGAATCATAGGAAAAACCAAGGACCATAGAAAGAACCATGAACCATAGGAGGAACCGAGGACCATAGAAAGAACCCAGAACCATAGAAAGAACCATAGAAAGAACTCAGAACCATAGGAAGAACCAAGGACCCTAGAAAGAATCCAGAACCATAGGAAGAACCAAGTACCATAAGAAGGGTCAAGAGACAAGAAAAGTACCAGAAAAAAGAGCCAAAAGACCAAGAGAAGAAAAGAGATTAGACAGAGAAGGACAACCAGGAGAACCTGAAGAAAAGGATAACATGAAAAAAATAAACCAAAACTATTAGGAAAATAAAGAGGAAGAAAAACATAAGAATAACAATCGAAGGATGACGAGAAACTCAAGAAAATCAGAAAACAACAAAGAAAATGAAAATCATTAGTGAAAAAAAAGAAGAAAAAGATAGAATTAGAAAGAGGAAGAACATTACCTATAATACTCCACTTGTGGACACCTAGCGGGTACTGCATTATTTTTGTGGTCTCCATGGTAGCATATACCCGCTGGTTCATCATGTCTCTCATCATCCATGTGACGTTGTTCCAGTAGATGTACGTGTGACTGGTGCCGTCAAACAGTGGCTTGTCGTTACGTTCTCCGTTGATGATATAGATATGGTCGAACACGGAGTCCTGACAGAGTCCACGAAGCGTGAGTAAAGTGACGTTTCTGAAGGTGCAGACGGCGCAGGTCTTGACGGAGCACGGGTTCACTACCCACTGACCCACATTTAAGGAGTCGAGAAAGACGCATCTGGAGGAGTTCGCATATCTGTCGTAGCCCTGTCGGAAGTTTGTGTAGTGTAGGGTCGCGTTCGTCTCCAGGTATATGTAGTCCTCTGAGTTGCTCTCGTGGCTGACACCTATCCCCAGCCACAGGTACACTCCCTGGCTAATGGCACACTTCTCTAGACTACTTTTGGATGCAGTAACGATCTCCGTGTTCTCCAGCTCACTTTCAGGGACAGCCAGGGTGCCCTTCAACATGGAGCACAACATCTGTGCTTCAAGAAAAGTTCTGTGTTCAGGGAACATAGTGTGAATTTTTGGGGCCGGGCCACAAATATTAGCCTTTGTAAAATTAACTAGTCTTACATCTCCTGAAGCTTTCCAATCTGTTGTCAGCGAGGAGAAAGAAACTATGGCCGAGTCGAATGTCATCACATCACACGAAACGAACTCTCGTATGAGTTTTTCCCTTAAATATTCTGGGAATATCAGCAGAGTAGCAATGTGTGCTTCCAGGGTATGTTCCAGGTTGATTGATTTTCCATAGACATCTTGTTTCTGGCCGAGGATAAGTATTCCACCGCCCTGCATTCTCATTTCTCTGCCCGAGAGTTGAGTGATATTGCCCGAGTAGAACCGAGAGTCTAGGGTAAGGGAGTAACGGCCGGCCTGGAGGTCCATGGCGAGGCATACATGAACCCAGGTGCGAAGCATGGGCAAGGTGAAGACCCCGTCTTTTTCAACTCGACCGTTGCCATGGCAACAAACAACAATCACGGCTGCCATGTTCCAGTCCACATCTGCAGTAGTAAAATCAATATGATTACTGACTGGAAGCGCCATAGTTGTTGCACTGAATATATTTTGCAACACTGGAAGGAGTCTACTTTTTACAGTAAATATTAGGCTGGATGTACGTGAGTACATATGTGAGCTCTGGTAGGATATTTAGCGTATTTAAAAAATGCAAATTATTTTTGATTGGAAAATGGTATGTAATCATAATTGATTTATGAAGGAGAGCAGCGCTTATTTTTTTGGAATAAGAGCGCTTCACCAGCATGAAGCACTGTTCTCCTGGGCGTTAGTCGATCGGTGTGGGTCGCATACTGGGACAAAATTTACTTAATTTACCCAAAATGCTTTACATAACAAGCGGTTTTCTGTATAGTATTATGTCACTGATCTCAGCTAGGACTGTATACCTTGTATATGTACTTGTTGAGATAAAGATAATTGTGGAAAATACTGTATATTTTCCGGAAATACGGTAATTTATAGGTAAATAGATGCCCTATATTGTATTTAATAAAAGTGTATTTTTAAAAAGAGGACAGTCGCCATTTTGGTTTGAATGAGCCAAGTAAACGTTAGTGTAATGGGAAGAATTTTTCGTGCTCTAGAGGTTAAAATTGGGTTGACACCTCTCAAATAGGAGGCGAAATTGTTGGATGTGCATTCCTGCATAACTTGAGATATCAGACGACTGGACAAGACAGCTCCAGGAACCTCAGATAAGTCTGTTATGTTATAACTCTGGCCAGTTGTTATTTTCATGTATAGACAGTGAGGTTTTGAGTATGATACAACTTAATCTCCAGTCAAATTGGTGAGTGTTATGATTAAGATATATTCTCCTTCTGTTATATAAATGTGTGTATATACTATAATCCTTTTTTAATTTTAATATACAGTCCACAAATTTATATATTTACCAGCATTCCTGGTGATGTATATTTCATTTAATTAATAGGTCCAGAGCAACTTGTGGATATGACAGTGGTAGGTATCGAAGGGGGACATTTTTTGCGACCTAGGTGTCCCAAATTCCTACTTGTCTAACTGATAAATAATAATTATCTATGTTCATTTACTGTTATGTATATAATGATACATTCAGATAAATACAATTTTCCACAATAATTATATTATATTATTTACTAAGACAGTCAAACAGGCATCATCACTGCACGTTAAGACAGATGTGTCTAATGCTGTATTTAATTCAGCATTTTGATACATCAAACTAACTTTGCCACAAAACCAATTAATGCTTAACTAAATATTTTAATTAAGTCATTTGGAGTGTTTAGTTGTCGATAGATAAATGTTCACCAGAAAGCCTCATCAGTTACAATAATCAAGAGGGAATTTTAAGGAAAATCGCCTCGTACGTTGTGTATTCATCTGATGTGACCTAATTCCTGCGTTGGTCTTAATAATGAAGTGTATCATTCACTGCGCTATCTGAGTAAGGTATCCCCGTATCACATAAGCCCAGCCTCCTCTACCTCAAAACACGTAAAAGAAAAAGTGGAGGGTGGTCATAAAATGCCAATACAGCAAAATATTAAAGTATGTATACGTGTTATGTATACGTGTCCGTGTTTATACATTTGAATTTCCGTTAATATGTACACTTTCATACGTATGTAGGTGTGTATGCATTTGCGTATGTATGTATGCATAGTTTTTATGTGCGTGCAAGTACAGAAAGCCAGCATGGATTTAGAGGAGATAAGTGTTGCCTCATTAACCTACTCGAGTTGTACGACAGAATAAGGAGAATCAAGCAGACGAATTTGTCGACTGCACATTGTTGGATATAGTACTATGTCATATTACTACCAACAGTTACAATAACAGTGTTTGTGTTAAGCGGAGAGAGATCACAAACACTAGGACTGAGGAAGTGAATTACCTTCTTACATCATAAATATATTTTCCCTCTATCTTTTACCGCCCCTTATTTCATTCCTCTATTACCCTCCCCATTCTATAATTTATTGCCTCTCTTTTTCCTCCCTTCCACCCATCTTCACTACTCACATATTAGCAGCTCGTCGGGGAACTCTGGCACAGAGTAACTCAGAAGAGGCATCTGGTGGGAGCGCCAGTGGAAGAGGTGGAGGTGCAAGCAGACAGTGATGGTGGAGAGTGTGGGGACTGGCTTCATCCACTGCACGAAGGAGTCGATGCTGGGGACACCTTTGGACTGCAAGTGCACCCCCGGGTAGACCGCCTCTCCCACACCTCTCTCTCCTGATCGGGGGGAGGGGGGTAAAGAAGAGAGAGCTCGGTGGGTCATGTGTTAGTCATCGCCCCCACCACCCGATCTCACACCAACCATCCAGAATTGGATAACAGATATCGAGTGACAGGTATAGGAACCATTGAGAAGCAAACTGGAAAATAAATTGAAGTAAATATTGAATACAAGTACAATTTTGTAAGATCACTTGTCATCTTCCGTGTTCATGAGACAGTTTAAGACCAGCAATCTTGCCAGAGTGCAAATAATTTAACAAGCTTCCATTTCATTCATAAAAGAGGAGTATTCTTATTCTGTTTTAACTACAAAGTACCAGAACTGTGCTATCAGTCAGTGCTTATAAAACAACGTGAACTGTTTCAACTAATTTACACTGTTATTATCAATTTGCTACTGTCGTGAATTAATTATATTACAGAAATCATAATCGTACAGCAAGTAAAATAATTCTAATTTTTTCACAATCTATATCTATATTTCATTCAGTATCACTGGCTATAAATATCATGAAATTCAGACGAAAGGGAAAATATCCCCACCTGTTTAAGAAAAATGTCCTGAGCTCTTAAATAGGAAAGCACCCTGTGGGGAGGAGGACGAAGTTATATTACTACAGGAGGCTCTTCTTGCCTTATTCGGCAAGAAGTGTCGCTGTTTAAGCCAAAATCACAAGTTTTACTTATTCGGTACGACATTTTATGTATATATATTATATATATATATATATATATATATATATATATATATATATATATATATATATATATATATATATATATTATTGTAATCACGAACGAGTGGAATTGATCAATAACAATACTGCGCTAGCAAAGGATTCGAACCCATGTTGTACTGGTCTGCCTCATGGTAAGCGAGAACCACATGACGCTTTAAACCACAGGACCACCCAACCCTACAAGAATGACGCAGCCAGCACACAGCTAGCTGTTGGGCCGCCATCCGAGGGCATACGGAGGTGTGGGAGCTTCTAAGCTAATTTCATTCTCATCCCTGTTTGGTGTACTAGCCTCACGAGCAGTATTTATATATTATTGTAACCACGGACGAGTGGTATTGATCAATAACAACACTGCGCTAGCCAAGGATTCGAACCCATGTTGTACTGGCCTGCCTCATGGTAAGCGAGAACCACATGACGCTAGTACACCAATGTGAGGGAAAAGTTCAATAGATAGGAGTAGCGAGGGAGTATATAGTAACAATAGTTTCATTGCCGGCTGCTTGTTAAGGTAGGGCAAGTCCAGCTCCCGCTATCCCCCCCCTTTTCCCCCCTCCCCGAAAGTGATAGTTTGATTGCCGGCTGCTTGTTAAGGTAGGGTCAGTCTAGCTCCCGCTATCCCTTCCCCTCCCTCTCCCCCCCCCCCGAAAGGTGACGTGTGGGGCTCCGGTCAAACAGTAAATCACTCGACTCACAGCTCCCAACATTACTGTAAGTACACGCCTGATCATATTTTAGTGGACTTATTGGTTGAAAACTTCACTTTTGACCAATAATTAACTTAGTCCTTTCAGTCTTGATCGGTTAAATGTTTTAATAATCACCACATCTTTTAGGTATTGTACTTATCATGGAGAGTGATTTCTTAAGCAGTGAGTAATCTGTCTCTCTTTACAGCTTGGAATGACAGAGAGGGTCACCTGCCAACCAACGAGAAGAATAGAAGGAGACGGACTAACGTCCTGAGACGTCCCATGTTTAATCTACTTACCTGTTATGTAAGCCAACACAGGACCTAACCCCTCATCATAGCAGTGGTAACGAACCTGTTTTCCTGTCATCTGAAGTAATTAGTCATGGCTATACTCTGTGAAGAACGAGCCGTTGGTGGTCACCAACACCTGCTACCCCCCCCCACATCAGCAACGGCTACGATTTCAACAACACGCAGTGTCACCAACACCTGATGCTCCATAACCACGATATACCTATATTAGCATTGACTTCAAATGTATTTTTTTCATTTCATTTTTCATTTTTCTTTCAAGTAGGATACCCATTCATGTTTTATTGTTTTACATTTTCCGTTTCTAAATAATAAAGTGTTTATCATTCTGTTATTTCTTTTTCTATTCATTAATTTTCCTGAGGAGGAGCCAGCCTTGGTAATACTGACTGAAGTTGTTACAGGGCTGGGTAAGCCTTCACAACCAAACAGGGATGAGAATGAAATTAGCTTAGAAGCTCCCACACCTCCGTATGCCCTCGGATGGCGGCCCAACAGCTAGCCGTGTGCTGGCTGCGCCATTCTTGTAGGGTTGGGTGGTTCTGTGGTTTAAAGCGTCATGTGGTTCTCGCTTACCATGAGGCAGGCTAGTACAACATGGGTTCGAATCCTGGGCTAGCGTGGTATTGTTACTGATTATATATATATATATATATATATATAATATATATATATATATATATATATATATATATATTTATATATAAATTTCTTTCAACACACCGACCGTATCCCACCGAGGTGGGGTGGCCCAAAAGGAAAAAAAGAAAGTTTCTCCATTTACATTTAGCAATATATACAGAAGAGGTTACTAGCCCCTTGCTCCCGGCATTTTAGTCGCCTCTTACAACACGCATGGCTTACGGAGGAAGAATTCTGTTCCACTTCCCCACAGAGGTAAGAGGAAATAAACAAGAACAAGAACCAGAAAGAAAATAGCAGAAAACCCAGAGGGATGTGTATATATATGCTTGTACATGTATGTGTAGTGTGACCTAAGTGTAAGTAGAAGTAGCAAGACGTACCTGAAATCTTGTATTTTCATGAGACAAAAAAGGACACCAACAATCCTACCATCATGTAAAACAATTACAGGCTTTCGTTTTACACTCACTTGGCAGGACGGTAGTACCTCCCTGGGCGGTTGCTGTCTACCAGCCTACTACCTAATATATATATATATATATATATATATATATATATATATATATATATATATATATATATATATATATATATATGCGCATACAATATATATATATATATATGCATACAATATATATATATATATATGCATACAATTTTTAGTTAATATGGTGAACTGGTTGGAATTAAGTTAAAAATGGTAGAACAGAGCTGGAGTTTAATGTTAGTTTAGTGTTACACTTCAAGTGTTAACGGTCATGATCTCAGGTGAAGCTGGACGATAACATTAAGTACACTAAGTTAGATGAAATTTTAGGAATATGGGTTAGAGAAACTGACACTTTAACGTAAATATTTGTTTGTAAAATAATATAATTATCGTTGGTGAACAACCCTAAAGCAATTTTTACAATGGTTCCCGGCCACAGGTTACAAGAGAAGTTGACCCCTTAAAACAGCGGGTATACATAATCATTGTGGTATCTGTGCTATACAAGTGTTAAGATACGACACCACAATAAAGGACAGTATCAATGTACATGATGTAACAACACTAACAATAACACCAATATGCAAGACTGTCACAGCCAAAATGATCTCACCGGACTCGAGAACATCCTAAATCACCCTTCACTCCCACATACATCCTATGAGCCAAATAACATCGTCACGGCATGCAATAATTTTTAGATTTTCTGTTAGCATGTTGGAAAATTTGCACCAATATATCCCAAAAGTATAGGATATCATGCTTCTCGTAATTTACATAGGAGTTGAAGGTTTGAAACCTTTCAGAAGTGCCATTCTTCACGTACTGCATGGAATTCAGTTGTACAACTTCAGTAATATTAATAAACTGGGATTTACACATCCAAATAACAAGATCTGTTGAACAGAACACACTAGTGTTAAAAGTTTGAAGCCAACCATAAGAAGCATTATCCAGTTACTGCACGGAATTACAGATTCCAAGTTTTATTTTTAACTGAGTATAGTGGCAAGGTTGTACCTATAGAACGTAAACATTTAAAATACAAGCCTGCGAATATGATGCATCAGCCACTAACAACTGAAGTGTTTTTAAACAAGAGAATATATTTTGATATAAAAAAAAAACTAAAAAAAGGGCATATCAGCTCCTCTACACTTTATTTTTTTTTATTATTATCACACTGGCCGATTCCCACCAAGGCAGGGTGGCCCGAAAAAGAAAAACTTTCACCATCATTCACTCCATCACTGTCTTGCCAGAAGGGTGCTTTACACTACAGTTTTTAAACTGCAACATTAACACCCCTCCTTCAGAGTGCAGGCACTGTACTTCCCATCTCCAGGACTCAAGTCCGGCCTGCCGGTTTCCCTGAATCCCTTCATAAATGTTACTTTGCTCACACTCCAACAGCACGTCAAGTATTAAAAACCATTTGTCTCCATTCACTCCTATCAAACACGCTCACGCATGCCTGCTGGAAGTCCAAGCCCCTCGCACACAAAACCTCCTTTACCCCCTTTTTCTAAGACAGGAAACACCAGTAATGAAAGTTTGAATCCGACCAGAAGATCAAGTTAGTGCATAAAAATAGCGGCCAGAGGGCCACCTGCACCTGTCAATTCAATTCAATTCAATTCAAAGTTTATTCTCTATAAAGATTACAATGTTGAATTTACAGAATTTGGTTAGTTACATCAAGCTTCCCATAGTTACATTACACCACCGTTGAAAACTTGACGCCCATCAGATGAGACATTTTCAAATTATATACGAAACTTTTTTGGGTAAGAATTAAAACTTAGGACAAACAATGTATAATATACCTTTTTGGAGGTATTTTAACAAATATGTGTGCGCATTTGTACAGATCTGCACAAAGGCTCTTGTTTACAGAGTTCACTTACCACACTGCGTGTATGTGGAGGAGAGGATCAACAGTAGACAAGCAAATCTGGTGCGTGTTCGTCGGTCCATGACACACGACTCTCTGCTTGTCCTGGTGCCTGTGGGATCCGTCCTGGTGCTTTTGGGGTCTGTCCTGGTGCCCGTGGGGTCTGTCCTGGTGCCCGTGGAGTCTGTCCTGGTGCCCGTGGGGTCTGTCCTGGTGCCCGTGGGGCCTGTCCTGGTGCCTGTGGGATCCGTCCTGGTGCCTGTGTAGACCAATCTAAGCGAGTTGATATATTACGAAACTTTCAGCCTCGTGCTTTTGTAAACTTCGAGTTACTTTTATTTCACCACTACTTTTTTTTTTTATCGTCTGCTTATGTCTAGATCATCTTTTGTCTTCAATTTTGTCGTGTTTAGTTATTTGCCAGTGCACTTTGATTCTTAAAACT